CCAGGTTGCCCCCGCCCCGCCCCCGCTGCCCACGGTGCTCACCAAGGCTGTAGAGGCTGAGCGCGCCGTAGTCCAGGAAGTAGCAGATGTGCCGCGCGCGGGGCGACATGGAGCTGAAGGTGTGCGCGCAGCACGATGCGAAAGGGTAGAGGCAGGTGGGCAGCAGGAAGACGAGCAGCGGCCAGTGGTAGGGCTCCGCCCGGAAGCCCGGGCCCCCCGCGAGCGCCAGTAGGCGCCACAGGAAGTACCTGCGGCGGTGGCACGTGCTCAGCCCGTGCCGCAGCCCGTCTGAACACCCTCTGAGCGGGGACAGCCTCCCTCACCAGGTGGGCAGGAAGTGAGTCCAGATGTTGACCGTCTCGTTGGTCATCTGGAAGGAGCTGAGGACACAGTCCAAGGCCGAGCTGGTGGGGTGGCGGTAGCCAGACATGATGCCATCTTCCCAGAACACCTGGGGGAGTGGTGGGTGGGTGGGAGGGGGGGTGTCACTGTGCGGGCCCTCCCTCTCCACGAGCGCTGGGGAAGCAGGGTTGAGGACAGCGGGCTGGAGGTCACAGTGGCCCCAAAGCCTGACTAAATCCGACTGCCATCTTAGCACAGGGTCCAGTACCCAGAGAGCAGATGAGAAACAGGAGAGCCAGCGCCAAGGGGCCAACACAGGATGGCAGCCTCAGCCGGCACAGACCGCGCGCTCTGTTAGGGGAAGGGGGCGCTGAAGGAGCTTTCTGGCCTGGGGAGCGGGGTCACACGCCTGTTCCTCAGAGAACAGAGGAAGAGTCTTACTGGAATGGGAGGGATACGCGTTAGCCTGCAGGAGGGACTTCCCTGGTTGCTAAGAGAGCCCCTGCCCCAGTCAGTCCCCTGAGGGTAGGAGTTGGAGGGTGTAGCCCCTCACCCGGGGGACCTGGTGGACTCGGAGGAGCTGGGGTAGCTTGAGGCTGAGCATGGTGGCCCGGCACCTCCACGTTGACCTGGAGACAGAAGGGGAGAGGGGGAGAGGGCGTGCGGATCAGGTATCTGCTCCCATCCACAGGCCCCTTATCACCCACATCCAGGCTGGGCCTGGTCACTGAGTCCCAGGGTGGGCTGTGCGCGCATGCGTGCATGTGGTAGCTGGCCACCAAGCTGCTTCCTTCAGGCCAGGGGAGGCTGGCCCAGCTTCCTGACCCCTCCCCATCCTAGCCTGGGGGCATCCGGTCACCCCACTGGGGGGCTGGTCGGCCTCCTCCTCAGTAACCCCGGGCCCTGGGTTCAGGCTCCGACCCCCCAGTTCTGTCTCAGGAGAAGCCTGACTCTCTCGGAGGTCCGTGCAGAGCGCTCAAGCCCACCCACCACCAGCGGAAAGCCCGGGGTCCACGGTGCGCGCGGAGAATTCCCGGAGACGCCAGATGCCCGCCAGGGGGGCACGGAATCAGGGGGACGCCTGGCTCTTTGAGGACGACCCTTGTGCTCCCCTGACCCCATGGCGCTCAGCCTCAGACCTGTGCGCTGCGTTCGGTGGCCGCGGCCGCTCAGGCCCTCTCCCAGGCACATTCCTTGGCACAAGTGGAGGGGCGGGGCCGCTAGGCGGGGAGCCGCCGGAGAAGGGACTAGGACACGCCCCCACCTCCTGGGGCCAGAACTTCCAAGCAACTCTGCAGCCTAGCCCCGCCTCTCTTCCTGCCGCCAGTTGGTCCCCCAGCTTCTGCTCCTGTCATTCAAGAGCTCGGGGACCCTCTGTGCGAGCTGGGTGCTGGGGACCTGGCTGGGAACAAGACAGACCGGGTCCCTAGTCCCGGCACCCCCGCTGAGCTTTAAGACAGATGAGGCCCGGAAAGGTATCCCCTGCCCTTCCCAGGAGCAGGATGGGGGTGGTCCGGCCCATGCTGAGTGCTGCCCAGCGACCTGGGAGAGGGCAGGGTGGAGGGTGCTGGCTGGCTCTAGCTCCCCTCAGGGTCCCTTCCCTTAGCTTAAGGTCTCTGGACTAGAATGTGTGCTGTAGCCTTGGAGATGGGTGAGGGGGCTGCCCCCGCTTGTCCCCCTGAATAGGTGGCAGAGCCCAGGGTGAGCTTCCTTACCCAGAGCTTGACTGACGCTCCTAAGCTGGTGGGTCAGCAGGCCCGGGGAGCTCCAGCCACCAGGCCAGCAGCAGGGAGAGGAGAGTGGCAGGCCAGCGGGCCAGGCCTGGGCGGGGTGTGGGAGACAAAGGGGGGCCGGGGAACAATCCCAGCCTTGTCTGGCCTCCAGGGAGCAGCGCAGGGTGGCCCAGGCCCATTAGCAGGCAGCTCACTCGGACTCCTCCACACAGCAGCCCCTCCAGCCTGATCCAACCGGAGATCAGACTGGCCGGCACAGGCTGGGGTGCTAGCCAGGATTTGGGCTCCCCCAGATCAGGCTGTCCCTGTCCAGCCCCGGCCTTGGACTTCAGAAACCACCCACCACTGTGCTTCCCTGCCTGCATCCAGGGCAAAGGCCTCTACCGTTGGTTGAGCCTCAGGGGATCTGCCAAGTTCAAGTTCACTGCTGATACACTTGAGATGCCAGTCCTTGCAGAGGGACAGGGGCTGACCCGGGCTGGCTTCAAGGCCCACCCCACATCCCCCTTCAGGAAGTTTCTGATGCAGAGGACCCAGCTGGAGACTGCAGACCAGCTCCAAGCAGCACGGTTGCCTTCGAAATCCTGTTCTCACCACCACCCCCAAGGAGGCGCCAGCTCAAGTCACACAGTCAACGGACTTGACAGGGTCTGTCACAAAACTGCCCTGGACGGTTTGCTGTGATTGCCAACTTGGGGCTTCAATGGGTCCCCCTCACAGAAACCTTCCCCAATGCCACTCTAGCAGGCTGTGCCACCCCCTGCCACGAGACTGTACAGAGGCACCAGGACACGCGGTGGGCTTTGGGGTCTTTATTACGTGATGCTCGGCTCCGACCCCGCCAGGCTGTCCCAGACACGCCGTGTTGGAGGAAGGAGGCGGGAAGCCTGGGCTCCTGAGAACAGCCTGGGAAGCGGGGCTGGCGCCGGGGACAGAGCGGAGACCCCCAGCCCAGTCCAGCCCGAGGAGGGGGGACACAGGCAATCCTGGCCACAGAGCCACCAGCAGCCCCGCCCACTGCCCTGAGCTAGTGGTGCTCTGCTCCCGTCACCTCCACTTCAGAGGTGAGCCCCGTGCTCAGCCCCACAGGCGTCAGGCTGGGGAAGCCCAAGTAGGGGAGCCCAGCAGGACAGGGGCCCCTGACCGGCCGCTTCCAGGGGCCTCTCCTTTATCCAGTCGGGGTGGTGGCCTCACACTGCACCCCCTCTCCTCTCACTGGCACCCCCGTCCCAGCACAGCAGCCAAGAGCACAAAGCGCAGTGACTGGGGCTGGTGGGCACAGGACCCTCATGGGCACACAGGCCAGTCTGCCTGCGGCCATCGTTGGGACCCACTCCCTGCCCTGGGAGCTAGACGGGGACAGAAGGCAGGAGGGGGGCGACTGGGTGAGTGGCCCTGCTATCAATGCAGCCAGCTCTGGGCCCCTCTTCTTCAAGGGTCCCCAAGGCCCCAGAGCTGCCCGGCCCTTGCAGGGAAATGGGGACAGGTCGTCCTCGAGGGAAGGGTCTGCAGAGCCACCCAGCTAGGTGGTGTTAGCCACACGTCCCCCAGGGCCAGTGGGTGCAAACTCCTGGTCCCAACCGCCCCCGTGTCCTGGGGGAGGAGGAGGGCCCTCTGCTGTCCCTTCCCCTCAGAGGTCCAGGAACCACGCCAATGACACGCAGACACCATGCCTGCCTCCTGCCCCTGGGGACAGCCGGGGGTTGAGGCAGGAGGGCTGATTAGGGCCCACAGGCCTCTCCTGCCCCAAGCACCTTCCTCACAGTTCCTGACATCGTCTTGGCAACGGGGGACCGCGCCCCCTGCCGGCTCCTGGGCCCTCCCTCAGCCTGCATGCGGCTGGGCTCCCCTCCTGAGTGCGTGCTGAGTCTGCGTGCGGTGGGGTGACTACAGGTGGCCGTCCTGGCTGCCGGGGAGGGCAGGAGATCTGGAGTCAGCCCCACTGCAGGGCCTGGGGGTCAGTCTCAACCAATCTCCTTCCACTGCTTGTAGAAATCCAGAACGTTCTTGACGTCCACACTGGCATGTGCAGCGGCCTGCAAAGCTGCCTGCGGACGGGATGAGACAGAGGTGGGTGTGTGGGGGGTGTTGGGGGGGAGGGGTGGGCTGACCTCCTGAATGATGATGGGGCAGTCCTTGTGGGCGGGCAGGGCAGGGACAGGGGATCTGAGGATGGTCGGCTCACCTCCGCCATGACCCACCTGCATCGGGCCTGAGAGCGCGCTGGGGTTGTCCAGGGGAAGGCCCGTGACAATGGTCACCATGCCGCTCGGATCCTCCTCACCGGCCCCCTGGGCCAGAGTCAGCTGTTTGCAGCTGTCCAGGATCTTATAGAGGGCCCTGGTGGGGAGAGGAGGGAGGCCGGCCGGCATGAGCTCAGCCGAAACACCAGGCCTCCCAGGACAGAAGCCAGGGACGGGGAGGGCACCAGCGGGGACCAAGGGAACCCAGGCCACCGGGGCTGCGGGGTGGGTCAAGCCGGGCGACGGGGAGCAGGCTGGGTGAGGGCACCAAACCCAAGCACCTCCAGGCCCCAGGCGGGACTGCCACTGGCTTGGTTTCAGAATTCACTGGCCCTGTCCCCTCTCCTGTCCTGTGTGTGTGTGTGTGTGTGTGGGGCGCGCAGTGGGGCGGGCGGGGGGCGGGGCTACAACTACCAGGCATCTGCGTCCTGCCTCTTCAGCTTATGCCGCTCAAAGCTCTTCCCCGCCTCCTTCTGGCAGCGAATGTACCTGCAAAGGACACGGGGGAGTGGAGATGGGGGGCAGAGGAGGGCGGGCGCCCCACACAAAGCGGACCATTGTGGCTCAGGGGCCCAGTTCTAGGGGGTGGGAGGGGCACGTCTCTCCCATCACAGGTCCGCTGGGAGCCCGTTTCAGAGCTTCCTGGCCTGGGAGCCCAGCTCCTTTTCCTGATAACATCGATTCCCGGTCCCTCCCGGGGGAGGGGCTGGGAGCCAGGGGCAGATGCTTTCCAAGCCCAGCTTCTGGAGACAAGGCCCAAACAAGCAGGCTTTGTGCGGCTTCCCGGCCAGGCCAGGGCCGGTGGCGGCTGGGGGGTCGGCCAGCAGGGAGGCCAGGAGGAAAGGCCTGCGTGGGGCCCTCAGCTCACCGTGGGGGTGGGAAGCCCCCACAGCCCCAGGAAGGCAACGCCCCGCAGACCTGACCGTGTCCACATCCCAACGCTAAGGCCCTTCAAAGGTGCCCATGGGACGGGGCGGGGAGTGGCCGTGAGGCAGATGGGCAGCAGGTCAGTGACCCCACAGGGCTCCTGGCTCCTCAGGTCACCTCTATTTCAGCACCTTGACTTCTAATTATGTCTTTGCTCCCCCGCTCTCCCCCTCGGGCAGTGAGCAAACCTTGGGCAGAGTACCTACTGCAAGTGTGTCTCACGCACAGGTAACAAGGAACACAGCACCTGTGGTCTGGGAGCCGGACGGGGCTCAGCACAGGCCCAGCAGGCCTACTCTCACCTGTTGCCCTTTTTAAACTCTGCCTCCAGGTAGCGGATCCCATCTCGTGCCCCTGGGTGTTCCTTCTTCAGCAAATCCAGGCCATCGATCACTGGTGGGCAAGGTGGGTGGGGAAGGACAGAACAAATGAGCTCGGACTGCAGTCACCCGGGGCTCTGCAGGGGGCTGCGCGCGCCCGGCACACTGTGGGACGAGAGGCCGACGGCTCCCACAGGGCGCCCAGTCCTTCCGGTGACCCGCCAGCCACGTCCTGGGCAATTTCCCAAGTGCTTTCACTGAGATCTGCCGTGTTTGTCCAGCCATCCTGAGTTAGGGTGAGCGGACTGTCGTGCCATTTCACGGATGAAGTGGCTGAGCTGAGAGAGGTGGAAGGACTCAACCAAGGCTGCTGTGTGAAGGGCCCCAAATAAGGGTCTAATCCCAAGCCCAGAGTCTCCGTCAGCCACACTCTACCTGGTCCCCCACCTCCCCCAACATGCTCACCTGTCCTTGGGATGATGACAATGAAGCGGCCACTGGTGGCCAGCTGGCGGATGACAGGGAGGTGGTGACAGAGGGCCTGGGTGTCGGGGACAAGGTAGGGGGACATTGCCGACTGGGCCTCGGGCTGCTGCAGGCTTCCCTCCAGCTGAGACACCTCGAGCTGGTGAGAGAAGGCAGGGGGCGGATCAGCCAGGTGGGGAGGGTGGGACTCAAGGGGGCTCTTGGGGGCTCCTCCTACCAGTGGCCTTGGAGAGAGGCAGAAACAAGGGTTAAGGCAACAAGAAAGACCAGGAAGAGACAGAAGCGGAGGCAGCAAGAGGACGCCCGGGCTCCATGAAGAATGGGCCTAGGGACAGAGATTTGGGAGGCCAGGAAACTAACAGCAACGTGGAGGGCCACAGAGGGGCGGGGCTGCCGCTGAGGGGGCGGGGCTGCCACTGAGGGGGCGGGGCTGCGTTGGCCTTTAGGTAAGAGCTGGAGCGCCTGGGTCCATTCTACCTGAAGTCGTAGCTGGGCCATGTCTCTCATTAGCCTGTTCCGCCGAGCTTCCTCCTGTGCCTAGGAGGGAAAAAAGTGTTGAGCTTGGGCGGGGCCGAGGAGCTGGGGCCACACTCCTTTTCCCAGCCATCAAGCCGGAGAGGAGATCTGAGGACTGAAGAAGATACGGCCCCATTCTGCCAGTTCTCTGCTGACCCTACTCAGAAGAGGCTGGGAGGAAAGCATCCCTCACCCATTCGTTTGGGCACCCAGGACAGAGGGAGCAAACAGCGGGCGCTGTCACCGCGCAGGACAGCACCAGGCTGGGCCTCAGGGTCTCCTTCCCAGGGGACACCATCCATGTACCCCTCACCTTCTGTCACCATCTGCTTCCGCCCAGACCTGACCACCCCTGACCCGCACACCCAACTGCAGACATGGCAGCCTCTTCCTCCAGTGTCCCCATCCTGGTAAATAAACCGCCATGGGCCGAGTCACGATGCTGAGTTGGCAGACATTTCCTTCTCTCAGCCCCAGCAGTTATGGGCTTCCTGTCAACTGCAGCTCCTGAGGCCACTGCACCCTGCACGGCAAAGCCCCTCCTCTCTGCACTCTGCCTCGGGCCCTCACTTCCTCTGCCCGCAACAAGGCATCGTCCCAAACCGCCTGACGTCCACCACCTCGTTCTAAGCATGCGGGCACCAGGCAGAGCCGCGCTGAGGGACACTACAGAATAACCAGCCAATACTCTTTTGCAGTGCCAGGTCAGGAAAGACTGAGGGACGGTCACGGGCTGGGGGACACTAAGTAGACACACAGCCAAAGGCCAGGTGGGACCCTGGCAGGGGAAAGACACCAGTGGAGAGACAGGGCGACGTCCTGCGCCATCCTCCCTCCAGAGTTCTGACACTCACACTGCGGTTGTGCAAGACCCACCCCCACCCCGGGTCCTGCACAAATGCCGTGTCCTTTTCAGGAATCCTGGCGGAGGGAGGCAGGGAGGGAGGTGTGGCCAGAGCCTGTGTGGGACCGCTCCCCCACAGCCCTGGGAAATCCCCTCTTCTCGCTGCACAAAGCCAGCCCAGGAATCTTACTTTTCGGCTGAAATTGGAGTCCTGAACCCCATGTCCCAGGGAGGGGTCTGGGGCACTTGGGTAAGGCCCCCAGAGACCCAGCGCAGGTGACTGGGGTCCACCTGGGCCCAGGAGCAGCAGCGGCCTGAAACCCAGGATGTTACCGCCGGCCCGCAGTTACAGACGTGGGCTGGCATGCTCCTCAGGGACCCCAAGGTCCCGCCACGGGAGAGACACTGAAGCCCTGAGGAGAAAGAGCGGGCTCCAGTGCCCAGCTGGCTTGCAGAGCTGAGTCCCACAACAGCGCCGGGCACGGACAGGAGCCTGGCTCTGCCCTGACGACCCCTCTGTCATCCTGTGCTTCCTCATCTATGAAGCGAGGGTGCCAGCACCACCTGAGGGCTGCTGTGAGGATTAAATGAGATGTCCATGCAAACCAGGCTTTGCACACAGAAAGCTCTAGGTAAATGACAGGAGGAGTGGGAGGCGGCTCCAGCAGGCCACGCCCACAGTCAGCTTGGCCTGTGCTGCACCACACCTGACAGTTCTCAGGCACTCCCACCTCAGGAGGAGTTGAGAACTTCAGGCTAGAGGAAATGCCTACAAAACATCTAACACTTTTGAAGCTGTGTAACTAACTTCCCCATAATTATTTTTGTAACCCCGTGTTTTCCCCTACAGAATAAAGGACTTAACACAAAAGGTTCATTTTTAACAAAATGTCCCTGCTTTTAAGACCGCCAGGAAGAGGGTTTCTGGGGAGACAGTGCCCTCCCAGCCCAACAGACTGTCTGCAGGAAGGGATGCTCAGAGAGGTGGGGTCCAGGATGAGGAACGGGGCTGGCTTGCCAAGCCGCATGGGCGATGCCTCCCAGTCAGACACCCCCCCAAACGCATGGTTGTCACTCACACCCAGGGTTGTGCCCGCCCCATTGCAGAAGCCAGGCCGCTGCCACCAAGTGTTGGCCTCAGAGAGAAAAGCCCGTCTTGCTCACTCTGCAGCCCCAGCACCTGGGGTACAGATGGGTCTGAGCAGGGCGGACGTGCAGCGAGCACGAATGGAAGGACTTAACTGAACGAACGGACAGGTGCTAGCACAGGCCCCGGACCTCCATGGGGACGGATCAAATCGGATGGGCGTGTCCCCATGTGGTGTCTGACACCAGCACCCCTCCACTGCATTCCAGCCTGTCTTCACCCCTCTGAGCACACACCCCGTGATAACATGCCAGGCACGAAACAGGCACTCACTCACTCCATCGTCACGACAGCCCCTAAAACCGATCTAACATAGCTGAACCGGGTAGGTGACTCCTCCATGCACAGACCAGGAGGTGACAGACGGCCCTCGGCCCCAGGCAGTGTGGACACAGGCCCAGTGCCAGGATGCCAGGCTGCCTCTGCTCCAAGCACCCCGCAGTTCCTGGCCGCACACACACTCCTGAGTCGAGGCCATGGCCTGCCAAGCCTGGGGCTGACTCACCATGCGGAGCTGGGCCTGGGCTTGCTGTAGCAGGCCGTCCTGCTCAGATGGGGCTGCGCTCACGAAGATGCCCACGGCCGGGCTGAACTGCAGGACGCTGCCCTGCAGGCGGGCAACGAAGTGGCCGAAGCTGCGGATGCAGCAGACACGCACGACTGCCTGTGGGGACACGTGAGACGGCCACTGAGCAGGCGTCACTGCCAGGGCCCCCGCCACCTGCCTCTCTGCCGGCCCAGCCACTCAGCGAGCGGTGCTCCTCAGGGAGGCTGGCGGCCTGGGGTGGGCAAGGAGACGCCAAGGCCCAGAGCCGGGCACCGGGCAGGAGGGGGGGACCTGGCTCCTGCTGCCACTTCTCCCCGCGTCTCATTTCTCACTTGTGAAATAAGGAACGGGGCAACATCAACACTTCCGGCTTACTTTGGTCAGCAGAACACTTCTTCCCCATAAGACATCAAGCTTACCTGGAACCCTAAAATATTAACCAGACTACAGCCAAGCTGCTCTGGCTGGAGGGGGCCAGGGGGTGCCTCTCTGCTTGCTTCCCCTGCTGCCCCCAGACAGTGATATCCTAACAGAGTCAAGGTGAAAGTCACTGGACCTAGCGGGCAGCGCATTCCCTTCCAGCTCTGACTTGGACCGTTTCGCGTTCAGCTAAGAGGCGGCTGGCCCACAGCAGAAAAGGCTTAAGGTTTCAAAGCCCTAACCATCCACGTGCTCTTTACCTACAAACGGGGGCTAAATGGCGGAGGCTTGTTTTACTACAGCAGGCTCACGCAGGGCCACCCTGCCAAGGAGGGGAGCTCAAGTGGCTCCCCGAGTGAGGAAGGATGCACAGCCTGCAACCCCGAGGACACGCTCCGCGTGAGCCGGCTCTGCTGCTGTCTAACAGCAGCGCCTGGGACTGGGCAACCATGTCCTCACCTCCTCTAAGGTACTGAGCAGGGGCCGATCCGAGCCAAAGTGAAAGCGCCGGTGGGCAGCCCGCAAGGGAGGCAGGTTACGAAGTGCCGTGTCCTCGGGGAGCAGCAGGCTGGAGGGGGCGTCGGGCAGTTCACAGCCCTCAAGAAAATCCTGGACCTCAGGACACAGGGCCAGGCCTGGGGAGAAAGAGGACCCCTGAAACCATCTGCCCTGGGGGAAGCCTCAGGTTGATAAGACAGAATGGGGGAAAACGGAGGGAGGACAGGAAAGAGAGAGACACACGGGGCCGCCTGGCAGAGCTCGGGAAGCCCAGAGCTGAGAGGTTGGGGGAGCAGGGCAGCGGGGGGACCAGGACAGCTCAGACTGGGAAGGCCCCTGACTGCAGGGCAGTCGTGTTGGACGGGAATGAGGAGGGGCCCGAGACCGAGGAATGAATAGCCTTGGGAGAAGGTGCTAGAAGGTGGAGGTTTCCGGCTCTGGAGGTCAAGGTCATGTCTCAACGAGCAAGGCACCAGTGCAGCACCAGCGACTGGGGCTGGCTTTCCGGCCCCTCGCTCTGCCCCTGCCCACTGCCCACTGCACTGCCTCCCCAGGGAGCACCTTCAGCAGGCCAGGCCACCTGCCCACGTGGGGCGGTGTTGGGGTGAGAAACCAGAGAGGCCAAGGCCACAATGACGGCTGTGTGCGGCAGGCTGGGCAGTGAATCCCATTAACCTCCTTACCCCAAGGGCCGGGTCACCAGAAAGGGGGGATGGGCTCCGTGGGGCCAATGGGGGAGGGGCGAGGGGGCAGTGCCAAGGCCTCACTCACCACACTCCTGGAGCTCGCCAGCTGCTGGCAGCAGGTTCAGCAACACAGACAGGCGGTTCCACAGACTCTGGGAGCTCTGGGGAAGGGGACAGCATGGGTGACATGAGCAAGAGCATTACACTTGGGGGTTGGGGCCGTGGTCCCGGGCCTCGGTGACCTTCAGCACCAGCTGACGACCTCCCAGGAAGAGAAGGCGTGACCATAGTAGGGACCCTCCTAATCTGGTGGTGGCTCCCCGCCCACCCCCCATCCAGCACACACCTTTCCTTCCAGCCCTCCATACCCACGTCTCTGTCTTACCACACGCCCTCGATGACTAAGTGCCTGAGTAACTAGGCTGTCACCACACAGGAGCACACGCCCAAGGGTGTGCCTGGCCCTGACAACCATCTCCCCTTGGGAAGAGGGTGACCCGCAGGGAGAAGGGGCGTCCGCACAGGGCAGGTAAGCTCCTGGGGCAGAAACACTGGACAAAGCCTCAGGGCACAGAAGCTCACGCCTGAGATTGGACCTGAGGAGAAGGCTGCCGTCGCCCCAGCCAGGGGTTCAGGCTGCAGGACGAGGCTGAGCCCCGCCCGGGGCACCTCCACAACCATCTGAAAGCCTCAGTGCTCCCCAGACAGGTCACTGCCATCCATACTCGGTGTCCCCTCCTTTCTCGGGACTGAACACACACTGTCACCACCATGACTCCTAAGGGCAGGCGCTATGCCTGGCACTGAGGGTACAGAGCAGGGTAAGCAGCCTCTTTCGCACCCACACAATTTGTGTCCCAGGACACGGGCTCCTTCAGGGCAGAGGCCAAGCCTGCCGCTCCTGGCGAGTGTGCGAGCCCAGCGCAGAGCGGGTGTGGCAGGAACCCTCCTGCTGGTCAGGCCATCCCCACAGGCGCCTCCCCCGCGCCCTGGCACCTGACCCGGGCCAGGGGGCCGGAGGGACACACCTGCGCACACACGATGATGAGGTCGGGGTTGGTCCGCAGCCAGTCCAAGAAGACCTTGACGGCGGGGAGCAGGCCTTCGGCCACGAGCACCTGCAGCTTCTCCTGGACGCTGTGCTCATTCCGACAGGAGCGCCCGCTGGACTCACTCCCCTCGGATTCAGAGCCGTCCTCGGAGGCTGGGGTGGGGACACAAAACTGGGCTGAGCAACCAATGGCACGTGGCGATGGGCTTCGGCTCTGTGCTGAGGGGAGCATGCGTGCCCGCCCTGCCCCGACTCGCTGGGCTCTTGGGAGGAAGACAGGACTCCCTTACAGACCCCTGCTCCGTTTTTCCAGGCCCGCTAGCATCGAACTGGTGACTTTTCAGCGAAAAGCCTGGCGCCTTTTTTAAACATGATTCTCTTAGACCCACGCTGATGCGAGGCTGCTCCACAGCTGTGCTCATCTGACCTGTAGGCATCAAGTGCCCCCCCCAGGGCCAGAGGCGGGGCAGGCGGGAGGAGCTGCAGGGGGAGGAGGGGGCACAGAGCTACAGGCACCACTTCCAGCTCTTCAGTTCCACGGCTCAGAACACAACAGGTCGCCCCACCTCCGAGCACCAGCCTCATTTCTTCTATTCATTCACTACTTCCCAAGTCCGCCCACCCCATATGCCAGGCGCTGTTAGGTCCTGAGCATAAAGCAGACTGTCCTGCCCTCAAGAGGCTCACAGGCTGGCTGGGGAGACAGACAAGTGACAACTTCACCTGAGTGGGAAAAGGCTGGAAGCTGTGAGGTGCAGAGGCTATGGGGGCCCACAAGAAGAGACTGTCACCTCGCCCTGGAAGTCCCAGACCAAGTGGCTTTTCAGCTAAAATCTACAGGGCAAGTAAGACTCAGCAGGCAGCAGGCTCAGGGCCAGAGGAGAAGTGTGCCCAAGGCAGCGCCAGGCACAGCAGCTCAGAGGTGAAGGGCCGCACTCAGACCAGAGGTGTAAGCACGGCGCCTCCAGGCTGTGGCAAGCGACAGACCCCAGTGCCCGAGAAAAGGCCACCCAGAGGCCCCGCCACAGGGAAGGCCCTCAGAGAAGAGTATCACTCCAACCCACCGGCCCGGGTCACCGCTGGCTTTTCTAGCTCCCAGGGAAGGAAGTCGTGTGGGGAGGAAGCCTCACACCCACGGGGCGGGGTGGGGAGGGAGGAACGAAACCAGGACGTGCTGGGAACCGGGATGATGGCGGGGTCAGAGGTCCTCCAGTGGCACAGTGGCCCTCCCGGGGAGTGCCGCCGGCATGGGGTGTGACCCGAGGCCCAATACCTGGCTCTGCAGGCTTGTCCACATCCCCGTTGACACAGGGCTTGCGGGGCTCGGAGGGCTGCAGCAGCAGGTTGCTGAAGGTGGGTGCCAGCCGGAAGCAGCGCTTGGTCTGGAACATCTGGGTGGACATGGCCTGCAGGCTGCTGGCGATGCTCGCCTCGCTGGGGCCCACGGGGCCGTTGAGGGACTCGGAGGCCTCGGGCCTGGCCCGAGGGGGCTCCAGGGCTGGGGACCGTGTCCCCTCCTCGTCCTCCATGTCTTCCAGGTCTGATCGGGACTCCTGGCTGTTCATTTCCGAGTCTGTCTCGGCATCAAAGGCCGTACCCCCACCTTCGAGACTCTTGTCCGAGCCGCTATCAGAGCCCTCGCTGGCCCGGGCCGAGTCGTGGCTCGAGTCCGAGTCAAAGCCCTCACTCAGGTCACTGTCGTCACCGGCTTTGGGTAGGTGGCGCCGGCGACGGAGGCAGGAGAGGCGGGAGAACTTCCGGCTCTTTCTGAGCTCGCCCTCTTGAGGGGCTGTGGGAGGGGGCTCAGCCCCCGGGCCGTCTTCCTTCTCCAAGGGCTCCTTACCCTCTGTCTCATCTGCGTTTGAAAGAGGCCAGTCGGGAAGCTGGAAGGTGCCCCCAATACTGCCCACCCCAGCCGTTTGCTCTACCCCCGCCCCCGGTGCCCCGTCCCAGCCGCCCCATCCCCCTACAGCACCTGGGCCATCGTTCTGGAAAGCCGGGACGGGGTTCTCGCCATCCTCCAGCTCCGCCTGCAGCCGTATGTTAACGTGGTTGACGAGGTGGGAGAAAAGGGCCAGCGTGAAAGCGATGGCCGCGCTGTACTGCTTGGACCCTAAAGCCAGGGAGCAGGCGTCAGGGCCCGGCCTGAGAGGACGCGCCCTCAGCACTAAGGCCCCCATCCCGGCTCTGCAGTCACCCTGACCTCCAGACGGGCCAGCTCACGCCGGCACTTCCTCACAGGAGTGCCCTGCCGGCCTGTCTCGTCTGCCCCGGCTTTGCCCAAACCCCGGCACCTCCATATCCAGCCCTGCCTCACCACCCTCCCCGCTCCAACGGGCTCCACACAAACCCGCCAGGAGGGTCTGCAAGGTGGACCCTTGTGTCTGCCTAGCCGCCTGGCCATGCGTTTGTGGGAGGGAGAGGAGGGGGTATGGGAGCGGGCCGCCGCCCTTCCTTGTTCGCTCCCCAGCAGCTCCTTTCGGGGAGGGCCCTGGCCCTGCCCACAGCCAAGCGGGACCGCAGCAGTGAGGCTCCCAGCAGCCAGTGGAGAGGTACCTGCTCTCTTGAGGCTGTGCACGCCCATGAGACAGATGACGACCATCTGAAAGATGAGCAGGTCCGGGAGGAAGGCGTAGCCACTCTCGCACTCCTCCTCCTCCTCGCTGGCCAGGCTGAGGTTGGGTGAGGACGGCAGGTAGAAGAGACAGAGGTTGAAGTCCTCCAGGACCGACTGGCAAAGTGATGTCAGCTCTGAGTCCACAGAGCTACGGAGGGGTGGGAGTAACAGGGGGGTCAGTGATGGAGGCTGGGGCGGGCGAGAAGAGTGGGGATACAGGATTCAGACACAAGACTACGGGGTCCTACGGGGAGACCGGAGCGTGCGGCGGGGGACGTGGGGCTCGGCTGATCCCCAAAGCAGACAAGACAGTGTGGGGAGGGCAGGCGCGCAGAGAGGCTGTGGGTGCCCTTCCAATTCAGCCGCTCCTTCAACGTCCAGTAAGAGCCCACTCTGCTAGAGGGAGAGCTGCCCGGAGAGCGGGCATAGAACCCTCGAGCGAGACGGGGAGGGATGTCCAGACAGGCTAACCGGCTGGAGGAGCTGCACCCGAGAAACAGAAGCCGCAGCCCAGGCTCTGCTCAGCCCACGGCCCACAGGAAGGTGGGTGACTGCTCACACTCCCCCCACTCACCTGCTTTGGGGCTGCAGCAGGCTTTGCAGATACATAAAGCTCACCAGCAACCTCTTAACGTCTTTGCATCTGAAATGAGGAGCCCGGGGGAATGGTGAGTGGCCCCGAGTCCCTGGGTCCCACTGCACGGACTGCAGAAAGAGGCCCCCCTTCCCACAGCCCCTCACCGCTTCCTGCTGGGGGACAGCTTCCGGGTCTCGCACTTCTTCAGCTGGTGGTACATTTTGGCTGCCTTGTCATACAGCCGCTTGAGGTTCCCATAGGCCCCCTCAAAGGACACTTCCGACTGGATGCTGAAGGGGACACAGAAGTGAACCACTGAGTCTTGGCAGGGCCAGACAGGGGAGGGGACGCGTCGGCCTCTCAGGGCTCGGGGGACAATGCTGCCAGTAAATCGGGCTGCCCCAGCCTCCCCTTCCACACACACTCAGGGTGGGAGCTCTCTCCCGAAAACACACACAGCAACCTCCAGACTAATCAGAGTGAAGATGGCGCCTACATCTCCTGTACATCTAGACGTGAGATCAGCAGTCCTACGTGGTATTACAAACTTCACTCAGTTACCGTTCCTGAGATATAGTCTTCTTTTTTAAGCATCTAGCACTAATATGTAGCATTTAACAAGCACCTACTCTGTGCAAGATCATATACATACACTATTTCAGCTAAGCCTCACAATACTCATTCAAACGCAAATACTGAGCACCCCACTATGTGTCAGGCACTGCACCCCACTACTGTCCATAAACACAGACGAGGAAATGGAGTCCGGGAGAGCAAGCACGCTGTCAAGGTCACACAGCTAACACCGGGCAGGGCCGGGTCTCCACCCAAGTCTGTCTCCGCCTTAACAGTGCGCTGTACTCTTACATCTTTTCTTTTAAACAACTTTTTAATTATGACAAGCGAGGTATCGAAAAGAAGAAATACGTCTGTGGAGAATTAAAGGTAGCCACAAATTCTTGGATGCGCCTTCCACTGAGAGTGGGCTCTGTCTCCTGGGCTTTAAATCTTGGGGGACCGCTGGGGGGGAGGACCACACAACTGCTTGGACCCGCAGGATATTGTGCAAGTGACTCCGCCAGTTTCTAGGCCCAGGTCTTAGGAGACGGGCCGATTCTACTTCCAAGCCTCCTGGGCCACTATTCACTGTGGGGGGAGGGGGGGTGTCTTCGTCACCATGTCAGAAGTCCGTCTGCCCCGAGAAGAGGCCCCAGGGAGAGACCGAGACCAGGGAAAGGGTCCAGCTGACCTCCAGGTCCGCTGAGTCCCAATGACCAACCCCAGGCTGTGCCACCAGGGGGAGGAGAGCGGCCCCGCTGAGCCCTGATCTGGACGCCTAAGCCCCAGACCACCAGATGGGTGTGTCAGGTCACAAGGCAGGACTTCCGCGCAGCGAGTACCCCCAGAACCTGGATGTGCTGGGCTCTTTGGAAGTGGCTCACCCTAAATCACAGTATGAGTGTGTGTGATGGGGGGTCCAGGACAAGAAGGCACATGAGGGATGGGAAAGACGCAACGGAAGGTAAAAAGCCCGGCAACGAAAGCTTGAGGGGTCAATACCGTGGCACCGGTATTTACCGATCAGAAAAGAAGGGGCACCCCGGGAGCAAACACCCCGCTCATACAGGGAGGCCTCCTCGGCCAGGCGAGCCCAGGATCGTGGCACACGGAATCCTGGGCAGAGCGCAGCATTGCCTTTACACTGAGTTCTGACCACCTAAGCCACGAAGACCACCGCTTCCCTCTGCTCTGCAGTCCGACTCACTACACAGACTCTTCTGAGCGCGACGGGGTCTTCACGTAGGTGTGAGCCACGCACAGGGGGCCACAGTGCGTTTCCCAGCTCCCCTGGCAGTTCTCTATCTCTGTAAGGCTATCAATGGCACCCCGTTTACCTCTCAGTCTCTTGTGCATTCAGGGATGGGGACAGTGCCCTGAGCCTAATCAACTGCGGGTGCCCTGAAAAACATGTTTTTTTAAAAAACATGTTTCTTATCCCAAGAGCTGAGCGTCCGACCAGGGAAGCTGTGACCCACCTGCTGTAAAGCTGGTCCCCCATCCTGTCATCACTGTCCCCTCAAGACACTAAAGCTCTAGAATCCGAGATTCCTGTCAGAAGCTACTCTGGTAACATTTTATCAACTCTCAAATTTATTTCCTTCTTCAAGGCAACAATTCTGTCTTTTGCATAAGATACTGGACGGCTGTTTCAGCTGCCCCTGTGCCTACAAATGCAGGTGGCTGTGTGAAAAGCAGCACGACTGTGTCGGGAGGGACCCCCCCCCCCCCCAGTCTTCCCCTCCCTATTTCAGCCAGGAGCTAGAGAAGGGAGGGGTGGGGAGAGAGAGTGGGGCAGGACCGCAGGGCTGGGGCGAGCCGGGCGCCCAGGTACTCACCAGCGCAGGTAGCAGTACATGGCTTCCACGCTGTAGTATTTGCTGCCCGCGAGGGTGCCCAGCTGGTTGAAGGGCATTCCTGGAGAGAAAGAGAAGCCCCACAGCTGGAGCCACAAGACGCGCCCAAAGCTGCCAGGCCTGACCACAGGCCTCAGAGACTTGTAGGGAGCAGAGCTGCGTCTGCAAGTGACACTGGTGTCCCAGGGGACTGTGGTCACAGACTCCCTTCCGATCGGTCTGTTCCCGCCCGGCCCGCCAAGGACTGCAGCTCTGACGGGCACCATTCCTCCGGCGGCAGCTGTGGCTCCCTGAAGGCTGACAGCTGCAGGGGGCCGTCCTCCACCCCAGCTTGGTCCCTTGCTCTGCGTTCTCCTTCCGACACGCTGCTCTCCTCTCTCCCTGTGACGGAGCCCAGTCCCTCCTCTCCCTCAGCCTCCTGTGGGCAGACGCCGCCGTCTCCCCTTTCTACACAGACCTCAGCAACAGGGACGCCACCGCTCCCTTCCTTCTCAGATCAGGACTTCCCCCTCTCTTCCCCGTACCACCTCCTGAGTGTGCGCTATGAGGGGGACGATGCACGAGGGACCCAGGCGAAGTCAGGATGGCACGCCTGTCACCTCAATGTCGTCGTCCTCCTGAAAATGCTGCTGGGCTGGGGGGCCCCGGCGGGGCTCCACTTACCAATCTGGGGGGCTACCGACAGGGCTTGGTAGTAAAACCTCTCAGCCAGCAACTCAGTGTCCACGCCAGCTAGTTCATTCTGATACCGGGCTGCAGGGGACAGAGAGGAAGAGACGCATGGTCCACGTTTCACAAGCACCTCCCCTCACCCAGGTGAGGAGCTGTAAGAAGAGCCTGGGCAGGAGACACCTGAGCTAGGAGGCAGGCCGCTGGGGCCTCTGGCACGGTCTTAAATCTGCCTGGCTGCTGTTCAATTCTCGCCCTCGCTGCTAAGTTTAAGATGTAAAGCGTCTTCAGTGTTTTGTGAAGTAAACAGGCTCTTCCGGGTGACCTCCTCCCGCTGAAGGGAGCTGCAGCAGCACGTCATCACTAGGGAAGCAGTGACTGCCTGCACACACTGCCCCGGGCCCGGCAGCGGGCTGAGGCAGGAGGGGGTGCCGCGGTCACTAAAAGGCAATGCGCCCAGCAGCCTGAGGAGGACGCTTGTCTGTTAGGACTGGGGCCCGGGGCCATGGAGAGAGTGCTTTTCCACAGAGAAACATTTGTCAGGCAGGGATGTCCTCCCTGAGGTCTGCCTTCACTTCCTCTAGGAGTCCATGGAGAGAACAGAAAACCCCACAGGAGGAGAAACTGGAATCTTTCTAAACCTCTATGAGACTGAGCTGTCGCCCTGACTTCCCCAAAGCTCAGGCATTTCCCTTCTCCCCGCCTCACTGACTGCCTCCAGCTCACGGAGGAGCAATGAAAAGGAGGGGGCACTGCTTCAGCAGATGAAATGGAAAGTTATCGGAGGCCAAACCACGCCTCCTGCTCGTCAGCCCCGTAAAGGGTGGTACCAACGGAAGCAGCTTGGGCCTGTCCTGCAGCCCCAGAGAGAAGGAAAGGTTCAGAGTCTTACACAAATCCCCCAGGTACACCAGACACCGGTGGCACGCCATCTGTGCCCAGTCCATCTCCTTCCCTGAGGCAGACACTGGCTTCTTGCATCCTGAAAGAGAGAGGGACAGATCTGTGAGCCCACGCCTGGTCCCTTACCTGTGGGGAGAGGCCTTCCCTAGGTGAGAAAGGAACAAGCCAGGGCTAGTCTTGGAACAGTGTCTTATGGGACAGAGCAGACTCATTCACAGGACAGGAAGGAACTGGAAGGGTAGGGCAAGGGTTCTCAACCTAGGACAGCTCCCTGGGGGAAGGTCATGTGAAGGTCATCACAGGGAGGCTTCTAGAAAGGAAGAGGACTTGAGGCCCAAGCCTCAGGACAGTCGCGGGTGCAGGGATAGAAGCTCCCACATAAGGAGGAAGGCCTGGGTAAGAATGGGAACCTGCCCAGGAAGAGCGGGATGGGAAGGTGGCCTCTACCCCAGGGACGAGGACCGCAGAGGACGTAGCGGCCAGCTGGCCGGAGCCTGCCTGTGAAGGAGACAAGGCGCGCAGGCCGTGCCCGAGGATGGGGGTGCCCGGGCTCACGCCTCCTTGTAAGTTCAGTGCACAGGAGTGATGGGGGGCAGCTCCCCATGTTCTGGGCACTGGTCTAGCACCTTACAGTGTCACCCTGGCTGGGCCGCGCCATAGCCCCACGAGGTGGCCATTCACTGTCACTCTTACCCACTCCCACACAGCAGCGAAGGGCAGAGCCAGGTCCAAGGGCAGCCTGGCTCCGGAGACCACCCTGCTCTACCCCACCTCGCAGCCGCTGTCTTGGGTGCACAGCCCCCATTCTACTGTGTTCCAGAGACATCTCTTAGTGGGCTGAATAGAGAAAACATCAAAAGGACAAAATCTGAAGCGATCTGGGGAAGCGACCTTTGAAGTAAGGGCTCTTCATCTTTTTTTAGGCTCTGGACCCTCGGGCCATCTGGTATAAAGCCTGGGAACGCTGTCTCTGATGAATGTTTTGTTTGAAATGCACAAAATGGCAGTACTGTGCATGGACACAACCCCACCCGGGCAGTCTGTCCTGGTGAGGGGGTGGGGCGGGGCTGAGAAGTGGGGCGGGGCTGGGGGCGGGGCCTGGAGAGCATGGGTGGGAAGAAGGGGAGGGGATCTAAAAGGTGGCAGAGCTTAAGCGAAACCACCAGCCAGAAGCAGAGGTCTAATTGCCAGCACATCAGTGGGGTGGCTGGAGAGACTGCCCTACGTTGGAAGAGGTTGTCCATAATGTCCCCAACATTTCTAAAAATTTCAATACTTTCATCAAACACCAGGAAACAATCTCTGAAGTTAAAAGGAACAGTGCCACCCAAATTCAACTGGGAGAAGAAACCAAATGCTGAGAGCCAGACCTAGTCTAGGTCATTCCATCCATCCTGACTTCCCGTCAGCCAATCCCAGACCAACACAGTCCTCTCACCCCTTAAGATATTCACCCTAACTCATAGGCTTGTTGGCATAAACCCCAATTTCACGAACATCTGTAGGGCTTGCTAGAATCCTGTCTGCCTGGCTGGGTCCCAAGCTGCAGGCGCTGAGGACGAGAAGGCCAAGGTGGGGGTCCAGGAGCTTGCTGCTCCAGCCCCGCTCTGAGATGTCACTGACCTATGAGGGGGTCGGTCACGTGGGTCCAGTCGATGCAGCACTGCAGCTCCAGCTGGTAATGGGACTGGATATAAAGGAGCAGATGCTGGTAGAAGCCAATGCCAGCGACCAGGTGTGTCCGGTAGGCACACTCCAAGGTGCTCCGGCTGTGGATATGCTGGGGACGGGAGGGGACGGCGTGGCTGACAGGCAGCTTGGGGCACCGCGCCCCCTCCTCAACCCTTTTCATCTCACGGGGAAATAGCTTCTCTTCTTGGCTCTGGAACTCTACCCAGTCCCCTCCTGCCTCTCAGGACTCACCCTACTGCCTTCGGTCTCCCCACCTGGACTCGGCGCCCCTCCTCACCCCTATCTCCAGCCACGCGCCGCCCCTCCTTCCCGAGCTGCCCCTCGCCCTCCCCCGGCCTCGCCCACCTTCTTGTTGGTCTTGATGAGCTGGATGACCTCATAGTACACCTTTCTCCACAGCAGCTCCTCCGCCTTCCTCCCATAGTCCACCGGGTGCAGGAACATCAGCTTGACGCAGAGCTCACGCAGCCTGCAAGGGCGCAGCGGGCTCGAGGGGCTGCCCGTGCCTCATGGGGCACCTGCCAACACCCACCCACACCCCCGGCCCCCCCAGAGACAGGCAGGGTGGGTCAATAGGACCAGGACGCAGCAGTCCTGGCAGGCTCAAGGCGCCCCAAAAGATAGACGGTAGCAGTTAGAATGGTGATGACCTGCGCTTTCCTCCCCTGCGGCCGTCCCACCTTTTCCCTCTGCCTTTGACCCCCTCCTTTTTTCCCTTCACTATCCGTATGGCCGGCTTCCCCAACTCAAATGGCACCCGTCTACCAATGTGTAAGCTGCAGACAGAGGGAGGGACCCCTGCAGACAAGGGGAGTGCCAGGCTTCCTAGCCCCTCACTGTACACGGGGTCGGGAGGTGAGAGAACGCGCCTCCACATGTGACAGGGTTTCTACACGGGGTCAGGAGGTACAGGAATGCGTGTCCACAGGTGACAGGGTTCCTTTTGGGGGAAGAGAAGTAGAGGAGCTGTAAGGGTCTGTGGTTTCTTCTCCAGCTTACTTGTTCCTCAGGCTAATGCTCTCTGCTTTAAACACGTCTTGATAAGCGGTTTTGTTGCAAAGGATGAGGTCAAGTCGATGCACGGCGTCCACCACAGCCCTGCAAGGAGACACAGGCCATTGAACCACGTGCATGGTCCACCTAGGATGCTGACCCCAGAGGAACAGCTCACAAATTAGTAGTGGGGGACGAGAAGGCTACAGGCTGAGCTCTGTACAAAACAAGATGAACCATCTCCATCCTCATACAGCAGCGCCCCCCCCCCCTGGGGACAGTTGGCAATGAGGGAGACATTTCCAATGGTCACAACTGGGATGCAGGGTGGCAGCAGGGAAGGAGTGGCTACTGGCATTTAGTGGGTGTGCTAGACACCCCACAGTACTCGGGACAGTCCACCACAATAACTACCCCGTCCCAAATGTCGACAGTGTCAAGGAAGGGGAACCCTGCGACACGGGAAACAGACTCCCCAGGAGAAGGAGCACAGGCAAAAAAATCTATGGTTTGAGCCCTCGCTGTGCCTCCTTAACTCTGTAACTTTGGGCAAATTACCTGAGCTCTGTAAGCCTTAGTTACCACATCCACAGCAATGGAGATAATAATATATGTAGCTACCGCAGAGGCTGCCATGAGGATTAAATAAAATAATCTGTGTATAGCATTCAACAAATAATGGAATGAATGATTACAGAAGGGCTTCTTATCTCTGACATAAAGGAGAGGCATTCCTGCTTTGGAATAGTGGGCCTGGGAAAGTGGGCTGGGGGTTCCCGAGCTGCTTTATCATAAGGGCTCCTGGATTCGGCTGAAAGAACTGTTTGTTTAATACAGAGTGTAGGCTCTGCCTCTAATTCTTACCACTATGTGGTCCTGGGCAAAACAGCTATCTAACTTCCTTATGCCTCAGTTCTTCCATCTATAAAACGGGAATAACGTTATCACCTATTTTGTGGGGAATAAATTGGCTAATACGGAAAGCACTCATGACAGTGGCTCATATAAAGCAAGTGCTCAGTAAGTCTGACCTTCATCCTTCTTGCTATAAGTCTGAGGAGTAGACACCACACGCTACGCAAAAATGCCAAGAAACTCTGTGGAAGGCTAAGAAGTGGCAGATGCAAGTGTCATCTCTGGCAGGGTAAAACCCAGAGGGTGACAAACAGCAGCTGTGACAACAGGTGAATCAGGCACAGCTCTGGACACAAAAGCAACCAGTACCCAGGGAGTGATGATTCCCAGAACAGTCCGCGATCATTCCAGAAGACTGCAACGTGCTGCTAGACTGGGGAAAGTGGACCACAGCAGGCGGGTGCCTTGTGGGGCCTCGGGGAGCACAGCACTAAAAGCTGCCCTGTACGGGGCAGAGTGACCACCCGCACCCAGTGAGGGGTTGGAGGGTAATCAGGCCTTCTCGTAAGCAATCCTGAGAGCTCAGCATTTGTTCAAACATGCTCAGCTGCCCAGGGGTAGGGGCCAAGCCCTTGTAGCCGGCCTGGGCCTGGGTGCCAGGGGCAGCATCAGGCAGGCGGCAGGCATCTACTCTATGCCAGCTCAGTCCCCAGGGCAAGGCTTTTAACTTCAGTGCCATAGACAGATGTGGGCGGGTGTGTGTGTGTGTTTATGGACAGGCTCTGGAGTGCTCCTTACATCCTAAAGGTTAATGACCGCTACTCTAGGAGGCTCTAACTGCAGATTCTTAAGCCTGAGGATGCAGCTCTTTCTGCTCCATTCCCCATCAGACCATCAGCTCCTTCACTTGACTGTAATCTCCTTTAGAACAAACCCCACAAAACCTGCCTTGTGTCGCCTTCAATGCTGTGCTCCCAGGCCTAAAACCGTGTTAAAAAAGAAAAATGTTTTTAAAAACTAGTTCATTGGCCTAATTAACTGGTGCTTGTGTCCCTCCCAGCATCCCTTCTCCAGCTGCCTTGTCTTCTGAGGGGCTTAACACATTTCAGAATTTCATTTCTGGAAGCCGTTAGGTTGTGGGAAAGTCCCAAATTTACTGAAGCTCAGCGTGACAGTTCCACCGTCTCTCAGCGCATTTAGGCTGCTGGGCAGACACATCAGGCCTCCTTCCCCCAGTTCCTTCTCCACCCACCCCTGTTACAACAAATTATCAGAACAGAGACCCGCTGCCTCCAGTTGTGAACCTGCTCAAAGCCAACAACACACAACTCCAGGCAGATCGATATCCACGAGCACACGTCAGCCACACATGCAAACACCCCAGCGTCAGTCAGTCAGTCCTGTGGAGGTGGTGGCTTGAGAAAAAACTAGATTTGAGAAGGACGGCCAGAGCCATTACCCAAAGCTGGGACAAGTAAGGAATCTTGCAGACACTGCCCACGCCCTGTCTGACAGGCAGCTCTGACACACGTGCCACCCCCCCCACACCCCCCCACACCCCCGCCAACTCCTCACCCGCGTGGAGCCTGCGCGAGGGCAGCCCACAGTGGGAGCCCAGGGGCTGCAGTACCCGATCGCTTTTCTATTTTGGGAGCAGCCCATACTCCCCTGTCTCTGCAGCCCAGCAGGCAGGATGCCCTACTCAAAGGAGGAAAAGACAACACGCTCATGACTCTTTCACTGCCAAGATGGGGCCCAGGGCTCGGAGGGCAGGCCTCTCATGCACACACCTCTGTCCCACAGAGCCTGAGCCAAAGGAAAACCGCAAACCCTACTCCCTACCGGAAAGCAGAAAACCCAACTGGAGTCTCTACGCTTCTTCGTTCTATTTCCATCCAGTTCTAGAGCCCGTGTTCCAGCCGCCCCGCAAACAGAAAAATCCTGGACCCAGGGTGGGAAGAACGCATACTGGCCTGTTCCCAACGGAGGGCTGAAGGGCTAAGGATGCTGAGGAACGTGAGGTGCACTGTGCAAATCAGAAACCAAGAATGGCAGTTGCCTGGCAAAGGACCGGAGTCATGCGGCTGGGAGCAAGGCAGGAGGCAGGAGTCCCCAGGTGCCCTGCCGCGGGCTCGCATGACCTAAGGACACCGGACTCGAAGTCCTTCAGGGACCTTCCAGGCCAACACAGCTTTCCGGCCTCTTCCCTTTCATTCAGAATCCCCAACACTCGAGCCATTAAGGGACTTCGGAGCGCATCAAACCCCAACCTCTCCTTTTAAGGATGAGGAAGCTCGGGCCCAAGGTCACAGCGAGACGCGCCAAGGCAAGGACCTAACCTGGCTCTCCCGATGTCGGCCCTCCAGGGCTCTGAGCGCTGATCCCTTCCGGGTTTCCCTCCATCTCGGACCCCACCCTCACCTCCCCAACCCCTGCCGCCCTCAAGGGCCCCCTTTGTGGACCCCAAAGCCGCAAAGCTCGGGGCCCGCCCCAAGTTGGCCGCTGAGCGGATCCCTCCACGTGCTTCGGTCCAAACCTCCCTCCCACCCACTCCCGTCTTTCAGCGCCGTCCCGGGCTGCGGGCCCCCCCACCCGCTCGCTCCACAATGGCACGCGCCCCAGCCCGGCGCCCGGCGCCCGGGCCCCGCCCACCGGTAAAGCCGCTTGGTGTGGAGGACCTTTGCTTCGGGCTCGCTGCTCTCCCCCGGGGGGGGGCCTTGGCTCATGGTGCCCGGGTCCGGGGGCGGCTTCCGGTCACAGGCCCCCGCCACCCACCGCCGCCGCCGCCGCCGCCACCGCCGCCAGCGCCACCACTGCCGTCTCCGGCCGTAGCCGCAGCCGCCACCGCCGCCGGCCCTGCTCGGCCGCCATCGCTGAGGCGGCTGCCCGCGGCTCCGCCTCCGCCTCCCGAGTCTCGCGATAGCAGCTGCACAGCTGCGGGCCAGTGGCCTGCTGCGACCAAGTCTCGCGGAACTCGTTTTCCCTCCCGGGAAGTTGCCAGAACTAAGTCTGGGCAGCATGGCCTCTTTCCGGCGTCTTCAAGCCCTTGCGAAAAACTTTATTGACAAAGCTGCCAGGGAACGGACAGCGGACGCAGCCACGGGGCTGACGCCAAGCTGAATGGGGCAGGTGGGCTCATGCTAGGAGCTAGGAGCGTGGCTTTGCTTTGTCCTACGGTGGTCATTTCACAGTCCATCCTTCTGCCCCTTCACCCCACTCCCTCCATTCGAGCCGAGTCTCTTTCAAGATCACTGGTCAGAAATTTTTAGAGAAAACAATTTCACAAAACTCCAATGACTTTGGCGGTAAGGTCCCACAGGAATGACAAGCCACTCCCTCACGTTTCTGACCCCCGTTGGAAAGGTCATCTGGGATTCCTATTGCTTTCTTGACCTTAAATCTAAGGTAAAAAGCAAGGTGTTTGGGGGGCCTGTGTACACGTGGAAATGGGAACATAAATCCCCCTTCCGCCGCTGTGCTGCTGGTTCCAGCCGCCGTCCTTCTTTCTGTTCCTGAAACAGCCAGTCTTTCTCACTCGCTGGCCTTTCATTCGCTGTTCCTCTGCCTGCAACACGCATACTCCCGGTTTCCCTCCAGGTCTCAGCTCAAAAGGCACCTTGGCAAAGAGGTTTTCCCTGCTGAAACTGTCTTATTGACTGAGTCACTAGGCTTCTTTATCATCCGTTACCCCAAGAGGACAAGCCCCTCAAGGGCCAAGCCCTTGCCTGTTACCTTGTTCTCTCTGGAGTCTGTGCCTAGAATAGTGCCTGGCTAATAATAGGTGCTCAGTAAACGTTGAATAAATAAGGGTAGAGATTCCATCTCTTTCCTGGGTGTTCCAACCTGCTCCCAGCAGGTTGCACAAACCCCACGGTCCCTCTCTGCTTTCCTGAGCTGAGAGCCCCTACACATGCCATTTGCCTAGAACACTCGCTTACTCCTATGCCCAGCCGCACCCCCACTTTCAGAAAGGATGACAGCCTCCCCTAATGCTTTTTCTGTCGGCAGATTCAGCAGGGCGGGGCCTGCCCCTTTAATCTGGGCCCCACCTGCTCCGGTCAGACTGGTTTGGAGACCGAGGTAAAGGGAGGGAGACCAGAGGAATACTTGCAGAGCCAGCAGGGAGCTGAGCAGCTCCTTCCAGGACCCTGTGGGGACCCTGTGCCTCTCTCCAGATGGAAAGTAAGAGGGTGTCATGGGTCCAAATGGCAAGGGGCAGGGAGCCGTTGCGGAGGTGGAGGGAAGGGGTGAGCCCCACCAAGAAACAGCGAGACGGAGAACGGAGGGCAGGGAGGGGAGAGACGGGAGAGGAGGCATGGGGAACAGCCATGATCGGACCTAGAAGTCAGTATGGACAGACCCAGGCCCCCGGAGATGGATGAGGTGGGCTAGTGAAGAGCTTGGCAACTGCCCATGTACCCAGACTGGAGATGAAAGAACAGGGTGCACTGCTGTGCCAGTTCCTCGGGACAGATTTGGTGGCAAATCACTGGGATCAGTTACCAGGAGGGTTCCAAGTGGGGATCCGCAGGGAAGGGGAGGATCGACGGTGAAGGGGCAGCTTCTCTGTCCACAAGGAAGTCCCTGGTGGGACGGCAGCTCTTGGCAAAATTCTAGGCACCTCCTCTCCCTCCTGTTCCTGCAGGAGGGTGGCCATGACCCCAGGGGTTTGGGTGGAGGGGAGTAAAAGGCGTGGGTGGGGACTGGCTGAGGCCACAGCTGCCAAGGCCTATGCCCCCTGACTCACCTGCTCCTGCTGGGGTGGCATTTGATGTGGAAAGGGTGCCTCCATTTCAGCTGCTCCTCTCTCTCCTGCCTCCCTCTGTTTCAACACCTTCCTCCACGCCATGTTCTCCCCAACGTCCCAGAAGGGGCTCAAGCCCATGATGCCAGCTGCCCTGGAGAGATCCAGTCTGTCAACCCATCCTAAGGGCCCGAGGATGGAGCTTCTGACAGAGCTCTCCTGTTAACCACCAGGGTGACATGACCGCACGGTAGACCCCACAACTGAGGCCCCAGGATGACAGAACCCGAGACCATGGCCCTGTTGGAAGTGAAGGGGCCGGAGGCCCAGGAGAAAAGCCTACCCCAGGCCTTGGTCCCCAATGGCCGGCAGCCAGAAGGAGAAAGTGGGGCCGAGCCCCCTGGCGCTGAGCCCTCCAGAGTGGGGTCTTCAGCTGGGTCTCCCGCAGCTGGAGAGGGGACGGAGGATGGTCTGGACAGCACAGTAAGCGAGGCTGCCACCTTGCCCTGGGGGACTGGCCCCCAGGCCAGTGCTCCGTTCCCGGACCCCCCCGGCTGGCGGGACATTGAGCCTGAGCTTCTGGAGTCGGAGCCACCCAGCAAGCCAGAGGAGTTGTCCGATGATGACGTCGACCTGATGCCTGAGAAGGCGCCCCGGGCCTTCGTGCCCATTGACCTGCAGTGCATCGAGCGGCGACCCCAGGAGGACCTCGCTGTGCGCTGTGAGGCCGGCGAGGCTGAGCGCCGCCGGACCTTTCTGCCCACCAGAGCCACCCCCCCTGAGCCCTCAGAGTGCAAGTGGGCCGAGGCTGCGGTGAGGCCGCCGGGCCGCTCCTGTGGGGGCTGCAGCAGCTGCGGGGGCCATGAGGGGCTGAGGGCCGTGGCCTCCGTGGCAGCCGCCCTCGTCCTCTTCCCCTGCCTGCTGTACGGGGCGTACGCCTTCCTGCCCTTTGATGCCCCTCGGCTGCCCACCATGAGTTCCCGCCTCGTCTACACGCTGCGCTGCGGGGTCTTCGCCACCTTCCCCATCGTGCTGGGTGAGCCTGGGCCCTGTGAGAAGGAAGGGGCAACTGGGAGCTGGACTCGAGGGCAGGGCCTGCCTGGCTGGGAGCACTGAGGCTGGACCCTCGCACACCCTGCCGTCCTGTGTGCCTGCCCCTCCCAGGACCCCCAAGCCCCACTGTGGAGACTCACGCCCGAGCTCTCCACCACAAGCCCTGCCCCCGCTGCCTGCCTCCTGCGCTCTCTGACCCTGCGTCTCCACCCCCGCCAGGCCTCCTGGTGTACGGGCTGAGTCTGCTGTGCTTTTCTGCCCTGCGGCCCTTTGGGGAGCCCCGGCGGGAGGTAGAAATCCACCGGCAGTATGTGGCCCAGTCGGTCCAGCTCTTCATCCTCTACTTCTTCAACCTGGCCGTGCTTTCCACCTACCTGCCCCAAGACACCCTCAAACTGCTCCCTCTGCTCACGGGCCTCTTCGCCATCTCCCGGTGAGCTGGGGCTGGGGGTGGGGCACAGGGGAGGTAATGGCACTAGCGGGACCCAGGTGTGGGTATGTGCAGAGGGCCAGAGTCTGGGCGCTCTCTGGATCCTGCCTTGTGCACCCTGGAAAGGTGAGTCCACTTTCTCCCTTGCACCTTACTTCACCTGGTAGCAGGTGATCAGCTCAAGCGTCTTCCCACAGGGAGCTGATTTCGGAGACTCATATACCATCTAGAACTGAAAGGGCTGCCAGGTGTCACGTAGGCCAACCTCCCACTCAGTGCGGCCACCCTCCTATGACACTCTGGTCAGGTAGCCGTTGGCCTCTAGTTGAACACCCCCTGTGACCAAGTGCTCCGTTCTTTATCTGGCAGTCTGTTTCGTTTTCTAAAGGTCCTAGTTATTAGGAGGTTCCTTGCCTTGTGATAAAAGCTGCTGCCCTGACCCCGATCTCTGGAATTGCCTAGGACGAATTCGGATACTTGACAACAGCTCTGTTCCCCTGACTCCCAACACCCTGCTCCCCGTGTTTACTTTGCTAAGTGGCCCTGACCCCTTCACCGTCAAACGGGGTGGGGTGGGGGTGGGGGTGGGGTTTGGTCAAGGGTATTGATTGTCCTGCTCATACAAACCAAGGCCCCTTTAGTTCTCATGGCAGCCTCATTACTCTCCTTTGATTTTGAATTTAGTCCCCTGAAATCCTTAGGGGTGTTTTCATGGGAACTGCTGTTAACCCAGGAGGCACCTTTGAATTTCTGAAGCCAAATCAACACAGGCCTTTCCATTTTTTCCCCTAATACATTTTCTTTTGTCACTTTCAATATACAATTCCCGGTAGCTTTAACTGCTAAAACAGTCTTCCTGTCAAGCTAACATTTGTCTTGCTGTTACTTCTGACTGTCGTCTAGTGGTCATCTGTCCCCCCCAGCCTCCGGACCACCACACAGCCCTGCATTTTCTCCCAGGAGATGTTTCCCCGAGATAAATGTTCCTCCACCTTTTGTAACTCCATGTAACTCCGCCTCCCACCTCCCTCTCAGAGAGTGCTGGTGTCAGGTGGAAGGTGGCTTAGGCGGTAAAACTCATCAGGGAGCTCAAGACTTAGCGACTGTCTGGTCCATCTGACCCATTTCCTAGAAAGGACACCACGAGACTCGGGGAGGAGTCACTCAGGGCAGGACTAGAATCCGGGTCCCTTCTCTCCCTCATCCGAGGTCCTTTCTTCTCTACCACGGGCAAGCTCCTTAAGCATTCTGTGTCTCCGTTTCATCATCTCTGGAGTTGTGAGGATTAAATGAGTTAATTTGTGTAGAGTGCGTACAACAGCCTGGCACTTGGTAAGTGCTAACTTACCAATGCACTTGGCACTTGCTAACTTGTGAACTTCTACTGTTATTACGACTCGCTGCCTCCTGGGGCAGTAGAGACGCAGCAGTTACTCTTCCCTCCGTTTAACAGGCAAAAAGAGAGGGACACGCCAATTTTGTAAAAGTGGTCCTTCACCTAAGCAGCGGTTCTCAACCTGTGGGTCACGACCCCTTTGGGGGTCGAACGACCCTTTCACAGGGGTCGCCTAAAACCATCGGAAAACAAAAAGATATTGACATTACGATTCATAACAGTAGCAAAATTACAGTTATAGAGTAGCAACAAAAATAATTTTATGGTTGGGGGTCACCACAACATGAGGAACTGAATTAAGGGGGCGCGGTATTAGGAAGGTTGAGAACCGCTGTGTTAGGGGAAGCTGCTGGTTAACACCTCACCCCCCCCCCGCTGTGGAGAGGTGTGTATTCTGAGCGGATCTTCCAAGTGGAGAAATTTGGCTGTGGGTGACCCGTCCCTCTGGGCTCCCAAGCCCTCTGGAAGCTGGCTTCCTTATTCTCGTCTTTCCCTCTGCCTCTCTGAAATGGCAGGAGAGGGGGTGAGGATCAGGGTGGGCTCAAATCACGGTTTTCCTATTTCCTAGAAGGGTGACCTTGGACCAGTCTTACTTAACCCCTTTGGAATCTTAGTTTCTTCATCTGCAAAATGGTAAATAAATACAGTGGAATGTGCTGCAGCTGTAGAAGACATGAGATAGCTGTTTATATATGGATAAAAATAATCTCCAAGATCTGTTGAATGGGAAAAAAGAACCATCTAAATGGTATGCTACCAAACTTCAAAAAAAGGGGGCAAAGGAAAACATACATCTTTTTTGCTCCTGTATGCATAAAAAAAATCACTCGCTGCACAAGAAACCATAATGTGGGATGCCTGGGGTGGGAGTGGCGTCGAGGTGGGGAGGTGAGGGAAGTGGGCAGGGTGGCTGGGGGTCCGCAGAGGAGGACGACCCTTTGCTATAGACGCAGCATCATCGCATTTTGAGTCACGCGACTGTACATCGCCTACTCACAAATCTTTTAATTACGATGTGCAAAGTTAACAAATAACAGAGGGAGGGGAGCGATCAAGGCACCTCACAGCGACGCGGAGAGGCGTACACGAAACTGTGCCCCCGAGTAACTAGCAAGGGGCTTTACAAGTATCGGCGGCGCCCCGGCCCCATCCGGCCCCTCGCCTCCGCCTCCGCCCGCTAGCTGCCCTCTTCTCGCCGGCAGGCTGATATACTGGCTGACCTTCGCCGTGGGCCGCTCCTTCCGAGGCTTTGGCTACGGCCTGACGTTCCTGCCCCTGGTGTCCATGCTGGTGTGGAACCTCTACTACATGTTCGTGGTGGAGCCCGAACGCATGTTCACCGCCACGGAGAGCCGCCTGGACTACCCCGACCACGCCCACTCCGACTACAGGCCCCGCCCCTGGGGCTGAGCCGCCCCGCCCCCGCCCCCAGCCTGGAACCTCGGCGGGACCAACCTGCCGCTGCGGGGACAGGGTCCCATCCTGTCAGGGCTCGGGCTGTCCCCCGCTCCCCCCAGCCGGGGCCGCCCTTCGCCTTTGGAGCCCGGGGTAGTCATGCGGGAGGGACGCGGGCCGTTTTCTTGCAGGGGAAGGGGTTGGACAGCCTTGTCCCTGAAGGATGCTGAGGGCACGGGGCCAGGACCCACAAGGAAGCAGGGCTCCGACCACGGCCACTAGGGCCCACCAGTGCCTGGCTCTGCTCCTCTGCAGCCTCCTGTGGGGCAGACCCACAGCCCAAACTCGGACCATTTCTGTGCGGGTGCTCTAAGCAGAGGGTCTCAAGAAGACTGGCAGTTCTGCTCGTGCCTAGAGAAAGGCCGGCGGCAGATCAAATAGGACTTGCATGCTGGGTAAAAACCTGCTGGGGGTTTGGGTTCAGGACCCACCACGACGGGCCCTCAAGGCCCTTTAGCCTCAGACAAGACTATTAAAGCTGCCCCTGCCTGGAGCTGCTGCCTCCTCCTTTCCAACCCATTAGGACCCTGTCGCTTCTCGCCTCCACACTGCCCCCCCAGGGTGTGTGTGTGTGTGTGTGTGTGTGTGTGTGTGTGTGTGTGTGTGTCCATGCATATGGTGGCTGGCAGTGGTTGGAAGGCACGGTGGCTGGTTCACCCCATGTGAGTATGTGTAACAATAAATAAGTACCGGTCTTGGCTCTTTCTTCGTGTTTGCACTCCCGCCTCGAGTGTCCCTTCCTTGTTGGATCGATACTGCCCCAGAACCGCCCTGCCCCCCGTGAATGGAGAGTGGCTGGTGTGCAGCCTCGGTCCCATGTCAAGACAGAGAACTATGCCTGGTGGGGAAGTGGAGCCATCCTCAGAAAACCTGCCATCCACACCCAGCCCTCAGCCCTCATTCCCAGGGACCAGCCCAACAACACTCACACACAGAAACGAGCCCTGTGGAAAAAATAAGTCTATTTCATGTCCCCCCCTCAGACAGCCAGCCAGTCAGAAGGCCTTTCATTTCGGCCTGCGAGTCCCATCCACAGGAAATGGGGGCTGAGGAGCACGGAGGCAACTCCAAGGGTACCCTCCCTCTGGCAATAACCCTGTTCCTGGTCCCTCTCCAGAGTATGAAAGAAGCCCCACCTGGTGGTCCCCAGGACTTGAGGCTAATCTCTGAGGTTCTGCAGAAAAGCATGATGGGCGGTGGGAGTGCCTGGCTGGGAACACTGACCCTCAAACTTGCAGAGGTTTGAGGCAAGGAAGGCAGGTCCAGTAACGTCTTTCCCTCCAGAGAGTGGGCCTCAATTTATGGGCTGATATTCTGAGTACCGCTTGGGTCCCAGCAGCAGAAACAGGCCTCCTGCCAGTAGCATGAGCCCTGGAGCACCCAGTGCCACCGCCATGATGCCCAGGACCAGCGGGGACAAGGCATCCACGGGAGGGATACCCACACCCAGGAGCATCGACCTAGAGCAAGCAGAGTGAGAAAGAGACGCAGGCTTAGGAGGGGAGGCCGACAGGCCCAGCCTTCTCCACTTCCCCGACCCTCGGCCCAGGCCCGACTCTCACCAGCTGAGGTAGTGTTGGTCCCAGTAGCCAGGGCCTGTAGAAGTCCCAAACGTCAGATTGAAGGCACAGAAGTTGTTCTGAGACCCAAAGAAGGCTCGGACAATGGGGGACTGGGGGACAACATATGCCGAGGTAGGGTAAAGAGGGGAGGCTTGGCAGGGCAGGGCTGACTCTCGGCCCCCCTGCTTCTGGGAGAAAGCCACGGGCCGCCACTGCATGAAGCCTGATGGCAGGGAGCCCCAAAGCAGCTGGTCCAACTGGGGAGAAAGGAGACAAGGCAGGGTGAGGAGGGCCAACCTGTGCTGCCAACCCTCTGTCCACCCCCTCCTTTCCCAGACTCCATCTGTCACCATTCGTCCTGAGACCCAGGCCTGGTTCTAGAACTCACAGGCTGTCTGCACTGGGACCTCAATCTTTCCTCTGCAGGGAGGGGAGTCGGACTGGATGGGCACTGAGTGTTTTTCCAGCCCTGACACTCGGCAAGCCTCCACTCAGCCCCCTCCTCTGGGCCCCTCGGCCCTGGCACGTGGCATCTGCCAGTCATGCTGCATGGCTGCCTTCGCCCTCTGTTGTTTCCACTGAGGCGCAGAGACTGGCCCACGTTTATGAGCATGGCTCCCAGTCCTTGAAAGACCTGAACAGTGTTGCTAAATGGTAAGTGGCCAAAAGGCTGTCTGAGGTCCCAGCGGGGGTCCCACCTGCATCCCCACCGTCAGCCGCTCCCTGGGAGCCTGACCTGGAAGACAGCAGGTGCGTATTCATCATCAATGGAGTGCTGCTCCCGCATGGAGGGGTAGTCAGGGCCCTGGCCCAGGGTGGCTACCTCCAGCCTGAACAGGGAGCGGTTTCCCCGGGGAACGGCCCCATCCAGGGCCACCTCTAGCTGGCAGGTGTCCGCCGTGTGCAGGAGGCGAGGCGGCTGGGCCGGCCGGCCGGACCTGGAGAAGGCCTGCACCTAGGATGGAAGAGGCACGGAGGTGGGGGGCAGGCAGACGCCCGTGCGTGAAGGCTGCCCCATCAGTGACTGCCAGCCTTGTGCGCCAGCCTGTTGAGCTCTGGTTCCCCACACTCTTACCCTGAAGGCCAGGCTGCCATTGGCAAAAGCCCTGGTGGGGTCATCAATGGGGTGGCCTCGAAATGTGGCGCTCAGGGTGGCAGGATCCAGTGAGTGGGTAATGTTGTTCCAGGAGAAGTCGGCCAAGCAGTAAGGGGGGTACGGTTTTCCTGGAGGCTCTGCGGCCGCATCGGAGGTGTTGGTGCTGTCAAACTCAAAAAGCTGGCGGGTGGGGTGGGGTGGGGGTGCTTACGTCCAGCTTTCTCCTGAGTCACCTCCACACTCACTGCCCCCCACTCCCAGGCTCTCCTACCTGACTACCTCCCCACCCAGCCTTCAGCTCCTCCCTCTGATAGGAGGACTGCTCTCCTCTCCCGCTTGGTTCTCCCCAACCTGCTCACCCTGGTAAAGACAACGGCAGAAGAAAACTGGATGCTGTCCTTGGGGAGCACCACCAGGCCCCCGGAGGGCTCAGAGGACAGCAGGAGGCTCCAGTTGACACTCAGGGCGCTGTGGGGGGTGTCGGTGGCCACCAGCAGCACTGCCGGGGGCCCCAGGGTGCTCCACACGTAGTGCAGAGTGGAGTTGGAGCCCACTGCCCGGATATGAAGCAGGTTCTCGGGGGGCCCCGCCGGGTCGGGGATGACCTCCAGAGACACCTGGAACATGGAGCAGTGGAGGGTCAAGAGAACTGGGTCAGGGAGGGACAGGGGCAAAGGAGAGGCTTGGGGGGAGGGGCAGCGGACTTGGGGAACGCTGGGGAGAGGGAGGGGCCTCAGGAGTTTGAACAAGAGAAATCCGGGTGGAAGCCCAGGGAGTCCTGGTAGGAGCAGTTGAGGGGTGGCGGAGCGGGCAGAGCCAGGACTGCCGCGACCGACCCTGGTGAAGACGTCAGGGCAGAGCTGAGCGGAAGAAAACACAGGTACGCCGGGACCTGGGTCCCTGAGGGCTGAGTCAGAGGACGGGAAGCCCCCACACCGCCCTGCTCCACAATCCGTCCCAGGACCCAAGGCTGCCCCCACCCCCAGGGTGAAGAACTCGTCTCTGTGCAGCACCCACCCCACCCTTGGTGGCCTTAGATTCCAACCAGCCTCGGAGGGTAGCACTTCCTGAAATCTCCACTGCCCGCGCCCCTCACCTGGCGGGCCTCCTCCCCCAGCAGGCCAAGCGGGGCTGCAGACAGAAGGAGACTCAGGAAGAGTATGGGGCTGGGGGCACAGCGCCCCCAGCCCCCGTGGGGTTCCTCACAGCTGCACATGCAGCCCCAGCTTCAGAGGGCGGAAGACATCGAGTCATGTGACTTACAGGCTCAGCTGACCTTATTAAAGGGCGGGGCCTGCACACCAGTTCTTAAAGAGACCGCCTCCTTTAACCCAGATTTAGGCTTGAGTGAGAATGGAACCAGAAAGGTTGGAAGTTCCTCATCTAGTCTGGGGTGTGGCAAGCGACACCCCAGACTAGACAGACATGCAGACATACTGCCGACCTTTCCTACCCAACTGGTCCCACTGAACAGTTAGTCACCTGTATGTGGGCACAACGTCTAGATTTAAGATCCAGATGGGATCCCAGTAAAGTGACTGGTAGGGAAGGCACCGCGAGGAGTCTGAAGCATTTTTGTTGTTGTCAATTATTGGTATTTATTGAGACCCCCACATAGAGCTAAAAAGATACCTCAGAGAACAGGATATGAGAGCAAAACATGTTATTTGTCGAAAGCATCTCACATCCGGCTGAAGGAACACTGTTGTTCTTGGGTTTTTGTTGTTTATTCTTAAAATTATCTTCACTAATAAATGCATGTGGCACAAAATTGTTGAGGTGCCACAGGGTGCCACTCCTATTGGTCCCTTCCCTGAGACAACCATCATTACCTTTGTGACCTAAGACACTCTGCATACTCAAGAATGTAGGTGATCCGTACACGTACACACGTGAATGCCGCACAGCGGCGTCCGCTGTTTGCTTTCTCACGTGTGGCGAGGCCTGCTCTGAGCCCATGCACTGGGAGCTGTGCGCTCTGCACAGAAGCACTTCGTTGCAGGGGGCGCCGCATGATGTATTTGGCCGGAACCCTGATAGTTTCAACATTCAGCTATGGCAGCAATGCGGGAAGGACATCCCGGCACGTACAGCATTGCGTATCTGTCACCAAATCTGGGTGGATAAACACCCAGGAGTGGCACTGCCAGGTCACACTCCCTGAGGCTTAACAGCTGCCGCTCACACCCGTGTCTGAGGGCCCACTCCCACAGCCTCCGAGTCTCTGCCAGGCTTCCCTGGGAATACGGTAAGGCACCTATCTCTCCACGATGTGTGTTTTTGCTTCTCGGGAGCTTTTTATACCCTTTGCCTATTTTTCTACAGGCCCTGTACTCTTGACTGCCAAGTTCTTTCAGGAAGTTAACTCTTGTGTTATCGAAACATCCTCACTTTCCCGTTTGGTCCTTTTGGCCATGCAAAATTTTTAGTGTAGCTGCCTTTATTTTCCCCACTGATATTTTTAAATCTTGTGTTTTCTTCTAGTCCTCATATAGTTGCACGTTCTTATATTTCAGTCTTTCTGCTGCCCAGAATTAATTTTGATGGAATGAATGAAGTAGGGATCCAATTTCACCCTCCTGCCCCCAAGTGGCTACTCTAGGACAAACTCAAGTTCCTTCAAAAACTTTCATTTTTCTTGAGAAAAAAAGCAGTACTTGTATCCTCCGAGGTGTCAACTCCGGGACCTCATAAAGGGGACTAAAAACAAGCCTTGGCTGAGTCCAGAGGGTCTGAATGGCCAGGAATTCAAGTGTCCCCCCAATCCAAGAATCCAAATGTAATTCTGTTAAGGGGCACCAGACACTTCTGCCATTTGCTTGTTCACTTGTATGTTGGAGACTTTTGTGTCAATGGGGGAAAACAGAATTTGGCTGAACCTAGTTTAACAATAGGAAGTCATGAGCCAAGTCAAGGAGGTGGCCAGCTGCACTCATGGGGTACCTACGGTTAGTGATTAGGGCTCAGGCAAGGCTTGGGTGGCTTCTAATCAGTGTTCCGTCAGGCTTTGGGCAGCACAGGGGCTCTGAAAGCTCAGCTGGGGTACAGACTGACCTAACACACCGGGAGGGGCTGCACAGGTTCAGGGGACAGTACAGTGCAGGTGAACTCCTACCTCACAGGGAACCCCACGGACGTTACCCAACTGCTCGGCCATGGAGCTGAAACCAGCATGGACCTAGAGGGAGGGAGGGAATAACGGGAAGGGAGAATCCACAGGCTGTGACTGGCTTCCTCCCTCCCGAACATCTCAGGTCTTATGAACACCATTTCTTCAAAATCTGCTCTACTTATCTGAGAATTAACCTATTACCTGTAGGGTTACAGTTGAGGGAATCATGAAAACTGCAAGTAGAGGCAGGATTTCAGCACAGGCAAGCAGGCTTACTTCAGAGCCCCTCAGAGAAGCTGGCTTCAGACTGCGCTCAGCAGCAAGCGAAGCACCAGGTATGGCCAGCGGTCTCAGAGGCCTCAGGCCTTCTCCACCTCACCCCTGTCCAGCCAGCACAGCCAGCAGCATGACTCGGCTCTTAAAGCCAGACCACCTGCTCAGGAAGTTGAGGCCCCGCTTAGCAGCTTGGTGGCCCTCGGACAAGCTTCTTTATCTATGCTTTAAGTCCCCATCGTAACACGGGGGACGGTACCTAGTCCACAGGGTGGGTCAGCTAATGTACAGTGACCAGAACGTGTTGATTACACAGTAGGCACCATGGCTGTTATCGTTCGACCTAATATCCAACTTTAATACACTAAGCGCCGAGGTCAGGAGGAGATAAAAGCCGACTGCATGAATCATAAGGACGGGGGTGGACGGCCCAGCAGCCACCAAGGGCACTGAAGACATCAAAGGCACCCCGTCCAGCCTCCCACAGCCCAGGGCCACTACTCAGGTTCTTCCTTGACGAAAACAAAGCACAAAATGAGACTTAAATGCTTTGTTTCTGCTAGCAGGGAGGGCAGAGGGCCTACTGTGCCACCAGCACACTCTGACAGTAGGCCGACAAGCCCAAATAGATTAGAATCAGGTAATATAGGAGAACTCCGAGCTGTGGGATACAGTACGACAATCCCGGCCTCCGAGCTTCAGGACAAGCGCCTGGGCTGAGCAGGAGTTGGGTGTTGGCTGCGCGCACACACACACAAGACGGGAACATGCAACGTTTGGACAGGTTCCTCCTGTTCTCTGTGAGATGAGTGCAAAGTGGTTGCCACTCGAAGTTTCACAGTAATACCATCCTGTGAGCTCCAGGGCGTCCCACCCGGCAGCTGCTGAGAAGGCTGAAGAACACGCCTTCCTTCCAGAAGGCAAACGAGACACGCGGTGACCTCATTCCCATCTCCCTTCCTCCCCAGCAAGGTGTCCTGCTTCCTCCCTCTTTGCCAGGAGGCAGAGATAGGACCCAAGCCTGAAAAACACATAACAACTGTCTCAAATGACTCAGATTTAATCATCGGAAGCAAACTAAATGGAAAGCTTACAATAGAGAAGAATTACATGTCAGTGCCTTTTGCAAACTGAGCCGGGACAGAGAGGGACTGGGGCTGCCCCTCCACCTGATCCCTTCCAAACAAAGACGCCCACAGTGTCCGGGCAGTCTGGCGGGGAGGGGGCTGCTGGCTCTGGGCGGAGGCCGCCTGCCCACCACTCACTCCTGGCCGGCGTCAGGAGCCCCGCCTTGCTGGCCCTGGTCATCGCCCTTCTTTTTGTGGCCTGAGACGATGTCATCAATCCGCAGCAGCAGGACTGCCGTCTAGGAGAGAAACCACAGCCCCGAATCGGTCAGCAGAGAAGGGAAGGACACTGGTTCTCGCAGACATCACCCCCTAGCTCCGCCCACGTAACTGCCATTTTATCGAAAAGCTGCCCTTTCAGAGCCTCCAATGTAAAATGCAGTTCTCACTACGCAGGAAACAGCCGGTGCTGCTACCCGACCCTGCTCTTTACGTGAGACGGAGATGGGGAGGGGTGGGCTCCTCAGCAGGCCTCTGGGGAACACTCTGCCTTCTGTACCTTCCCTTCAAGAAGGGACTGAACACTCGGGCTTCTGGGCATCTGGAAACGGACAGCACACGCCTGGGCCTCACCTCCACTGCTGTCTTGTACGTCTGCAGCTTCACAGCCAGTGGCTCCCAGACGCCCAGCTCCTTCATGTCCACCAAAGTGCCCGTCTCACCATTGACACCCCAGGTCTCACAGTTCTCCTGGGTGTGCTTGGCCTGTGGATGGCGCAAGTCGTTAAAGGGGGAAATGCTGCAAACAAGCAAGCTGGCAAGGAACGTCAGGTAGGAGCTAAACCCAAAATCCTGGATTGGTAAGGGGGCGATAAGAGGGGCGATAAGAGGGAACGGCCATGACAGCAAACAAGTCAAAAACCAGGAGAAGAGCTACCAAGGGAACAAGCCTTAAAGGAGAACCCGGACGGACGGACGGACGTGAAGTCTCTTAGGCTGAACACAGCCCCCGGCCCCACCACAGGGAGAGCGCGGACAGAACTCACCCGAAGGGAGGTGAGTAGACGGATGGTGCTGGCCCCACAGTTCTGGATGAGGGTCCGAGGGATGACCTCCAGGGCCTGGGCGACAGCCCTGTACGGCCACTGCTCCACCCCAGTCATGGCCTTGGACTTTTCCGTCAAGGCGTGGGCCACGGCCATCTCACAGGCCCCGCCCCCTGGCACCAGCTGCGGGTCCAGGAGGACGTTGCGGCACACCTGCATGGCATCCTGCAGGTTGCGCTCCACTTCCTGGGGAAAGCAAACAGGAGGATGAGCCACAGCAGGACGACCCAGGGACAGATCGGAGGCGCCGCAGGACTTCCTGACCACCACGTTCAGCGAGCCACCAAGGAGGGCAACTGAGAAAGGGCTCTGGAATCAATCCCTCCTGGGCAAGGCCGGTGCTATCACCTGGGACAGACACAGCACTATCACCACAGCAGGACGTGCCCCTCTGGTCAGGCTTCTTACCAGCTCTGTGACTTGGCTAAGTTACTTAAACTCACTGAGGAAAAAGTAGTATCTATGTCAACTTAAGGACTGACGTAAATAATAATAATAATAATAAAAAGTTGAGGCAGTGGCTGACAGGGGCTAGGGGATGATGAGTCACTGTTCCGTGGATACAGTGCCTCAGTTTGGCAAGATGAGAAAGTTCTGGAATCTGCCGCATAAGAGTGTGAATATACTTGAAAAGCAAGCAGGAGATGCAGATGTTTGTGGCTACACATCTAACTAGCGCTACATGGGCCACAGGGCGACCTTAGGCCCTCTGGGAAAATCCAGGAGGAATGACCTCGTCGGCAGTCTCACTTCCGAGGCCGACTCACCGAGAGAATCTCCTTGCTGGCCCCCCGGAGGAGGATGGTACAGGCCTTGGGGTCTTTGCACTCGGTGATGAACGTGAAGTACTCATCTCCGATTTTCTTGATTTCCAACAGGCCTGCTCCTGTCCCAACATCATCTTCTCGCAGTTCCTCAGGTCGGCTGACTATCCTGGCCCCACAGGCTCTATTGATTGGAGGGGAGGAGAGGAACCACACGATTTCAGATACTTCTACCCATCTCTCTAGTCCCTGGGGTCTGTGGCTGGGACAAGGCAGACATGGATCGCTGGAAGCATTGCTACCTAATTCAAGAGGTCTTGGCTGCCTAGTGAAATAGATTTTCAAGCACATGACGTGTCCGTAAACAAATATGGCTTTATGAATAAAAGTGTGCATACCTAAAGCAACTACTATGACCAGGTACAGTTTAATTCAAAGTATATCTGTGGATACTAAATGCACAAATGAGTTCCTCTGCATATCTAATGAGTACATTCCACTAAGGATCATTTCTAGATCGAGATCATCTTGGACTGCCCAGGTAGAGCTCAAGGCCAATCATTGGACTGTACTAAAGAAAATGCCAAGACAAGCAAGGAAGGTAAGTACGTACGCGAATTCTGACCCAACTTTAATCAACGTAGGACTAATTTCTTATTTGCCACTCTTTGCCCCCACTCATAGGCACCAAGTCAACTACATGCACACATGCCCAGAGCCGTTTCAGCTCAGCAAACGCACAAAATTGGATTTAGATCTATAATACACGACGTTAGGGTAGACTTACCTTTTTCAAAATAAAAATTGGCATTCAAAGTGATTGGTACCTGCGCAGAAGTCATGAATGCTATCTAAAGCTGCATTAGCAGCAGCTGTTCTGAACTGTATTCTGAGCCAGTTAAAAACCGACTACTCTGTAAGGAACCCCTACACCAAGGTAGCGATGGGAGATTTCCAACCATAAGCTGGTCACTACAGGTTAGGAGCAGCACAGAAGGGACGCGTGCAGGAGACAAGTGCTGGACTAGATAAAAGACTTCTGAAGATGGCAGACAGCTAAACTCAGGTTATTTCCACCTGTAACTGCTCTGGCTGACCGTCTCCTCTATGGTTACCTTTTCAGGTAACACGTGTTGTAAAGCCACACGGGAAGGAAGTGTCTTGGTTGTAGTACCTGGCCTACTCACCTCGCAATGCGATTGTTGTCTGTCTTCCGGACTCTGCGGATGGCTGTGACATTGGCTCGCATGAGGTAGTGCTGGGCTAAATCTGCAAACCCAAGAAGAGGGGTCGGCTCAAAGCCAGGACTCCAGTCCGGCTCATGTCCTCAGTGCAGCCCAACCATCCCGTCTGTGATGTGCGCCCACGCCCACAGGCGAGGAAACAGCCGCCCACCCTCGCCCATCTCCCACGTGCACGGCAGGCAGGCTGGACAGGAGCAGAGCCCACCTGAGACACCCTTTTCTGTGATGACCACGTCGGGCTTCAGACGGATGATGTCCTCGCAGAGCTGCTGGATGTACTCTTCTTCCATCTGGAGGATTCGGGTGAAGTCTTCCTCTCGCGTGATCTCAATGTCAGTCTGCGTGGTGAGGGCACGTCACTGACAAGCCCTGGCCTGGGGAAGTTCTCCAGGAACCCCTCCGCCCCCGCATGCAGCCTTCGCCCGTGTCCCAGAAGCGCGAGTGAGAATAATGTTAGAGCCATGACCCTCATACCTCTGGGACCCAATTTAGCTCTAGCAATCACCCACTTTCAACTCCTTCATTTAAGCATAGAGTAACTGGAGTTCAAAGTCACAGGGCAATCAGTGGAGACCGTCGCCTCCGTCTGTGACCACCCAGTTCAGTGTCACCTCTAGCCTGTCAGTGAGCACAGTAGTTCTGGGTCTGACCTCTCCCACCAATCCACTGGTTCTGGCTCCCAATTCTTGTTTAATAAGCTCCAATCAATCACCTTGTTTTACCCAAGGGTGATGGAGCCCCGTGAACCTCCACCCTCTGCAAATTCTCCCCTAGCCCTTCGAAGTGACATTAACTCCTCCTGTCTGTCTGAATGATGCATTAGGAAAGGTGGCATGGGAGTGTGGAACAGATGCCAAACACAGCTGGGTTCAAACCCTGATTCGGCCAGTACCAGCTGTGTTCCTCAAGCGATTAACCTAACTTCT